GCCCATGGCAGGGTGGTTGGATTGGATGATCTCTGAGGTCCCTTCCAGCCTAGGCCAGTCTATAATGATTTCTGTAACTGAGCTGATCACTGAAACTCTCTTTGCAGTCAGTGGAGGGAAATGAATCCTCTGAGGATGTAATTCATCCAACTGGTCACAGATACATAAATTAAGATGAGGTGAATCGTGCTTAAAGTACCTTTTTTTCCCCATTGACTCTAAAAGGACCTTGAAGTGACTCTTTCACACAGATTTGACACATCTACATGTGGTAACATGAAGACAAAAGCAAAGTTTTCATGAGAAGCACACCCTAACTTTCTGTAGCTGACTCCAGCAGCTGTGAAAAAAGTGGCTGCTGTCTCTGCAGAAGAGAAACCTGTCGCAAGGCATCCTGGTCAGTGCCTTCTGGTCTTTGGGTGGTTTAGGGAATGCCACCTGGAGCATTGAAGATGCAGAAATGAAGAGTTGCTGCTGCAAAAATGATGCATTAGAATCACCCCCCTTAAAAAATTCTTGAGGCTATGTGAGCCACTTAAAAAAAGGAACCTCCAGTCATGCAGTTTTAGGGAGAGTATAAATTGCAAACTTTGCAGTGGAAGGGAAGAGCTGAACATGCAGATACTCAGTCCTACGCTTCTTCAATTAAGCAATAGAAACACAGTCATCTTTGCTTCTGAAAAAAAAAATCCAGAAGGGCCAGAAAGATGCAGAACAGTTTGGGAAAAAAAATTGAGAAAGCATCCTAGGATGGAAGAGATTAGGGACAATTTCTACTTGCAGTTAGTTCTCAGCAGACAGATGATGTCCCAAGAAGAGCTTCCATCACCACTTTGCTGGTACCAAATGGAACAAGAAGCCGAAGAATAGAGCTGCCTCTTCCTTTTTTTTTCTTTAAATTTTTTTTTTTTTTGTGATTAAAAAGTGAACTCTCATCTCTTAATTACAGGAGCATTTGCTGTTGCTGAAGGCTGTTGCAAAGCAGCTCGCAGCGTAAGGAAGCTGTGTTGCTCTTTTGGGTGGAGTTCATCATTTCTGAGTTGAGGCATTTGATGAAAGCTGATTGTCTAGGCTCCATCTACATCAACAAAGAGAGAGAGAGGGAGACATCTTCCATTATACAGAAAGAGGGAATGGATGTCAGGAAATTCCTCTCTTTCTCCAGTGACTACAGAAGGAGACCTGAGGCTGACTGAGTTGGGTACCCATCTCTTAAGACCAGTCTTTCCATAGGGAAAAGCCAATCGATAGCACTGTAGGTCTGGTTTCAATCCCAGTGGATTTCTGTCTCCAAACTGGCATAGTCAAGCTCGTGTAGCCTCAACCTATCAAGTCCAAGCTGCTTAAATAAACCTGTGAGTCAAATGGATGACACACTCTGGGCTGAAATGCTGAAGCAAATTTATGTCTTCTTCATCTCCTCAGATTGGGACTTTTCTTGTCCTGGGCTTCTCTGTCACAGCCCTCTTCATATTATCAGTGCTCTGGGGAGATCAATGGAAAACTGTCCGCCTGTCGTTCCAGGTAAGAGGAGCTGGGAGGTTTGCTTGAAAGAAGTATAGAAGTATTTTGTGGCAATCAGTAGAAAATATACCATACGGTGGGTGTTTTTCACATGGGTTTTTCTGGCAGGGTACGTGGGTTTTGAGTGAACTTTTCTTATGACTTGACTTGTCTTGTCCTGCTGGGAGAAAGGAAGCCAAGACCTGAAGTTGAGTTTCAAGCCTTCTGATGCAGCAGGTCTCAGTTTAGGAAGTCACATCCTTTCTGTAGAGTAGGTGTACTGTTAAATCAGACCCCTTTGGCTGGTAGGGTTGCTGCAGCAAGAATTTAACTGGCTCCTGCTGGTTCAGCACCTTTAGCATTAGCACAGTTTCAGTCTTCTGTGACTCAGAACTTCTCCTTCTGATGGTAGGACAGCACTGAGGTTTTGGGAAGTAGATGGGGAACACTGGTATCAGGTGGTATCAGCAGGAGTAGTGAGGTGATCATTCCCCTCTACTCAGCTTTGGTGAGGCCACACCTTGAGTATTGTGTCCAGTTTTGGGCCCGTAAACTGAGTCCTCTAGGATCTGAGATTGATGTTAAGGGGGTGCAGAGTTGGGCTGGCAAAGGGCTTAGAAGATAATTCTTATGGGAAAAGGCTGAGGGATCTGGGGCTGTTCAGCCTGGAGAAGAGGAGGTTGAGGGGAGACCTCATTGCTCTCTACAACTACTTGAAAGGAGGTTGTAGCAAGGCAGGGATTGGTCTGTTCTCCCTAGTGGAGAGTGATAGGAAGAGGGGAAATGGATTCAAACTGCACCACAGGAGGTTCAGGTTGGATATTAGGAAGAATTTCTGTACTGAAAGGGCTGTCAGCCATTGGAACAGGCTGCCCAGGGAGTTGGTTGAGTCACCATCCCTGGAGGTGTTTAAGAGACAAGTGGATGTTGCGCTGGGGGCAGTTGTTTAGTAGGTTGATAGGGCTGGGAAAAAGGCTGGACTCGATGATTTTCAAGGTCTCTTCCAGCTGAAACTATTCTATGATTCTATAATTCTAACATGCTGGATGCAAAGCGTCAGAGTTGCATGGTCTGCTGGCCTCCTCACCTCTCACCAGATCACAGAACCATAGAATGGTTTGCCTTGGAAGGGACCTTTAAGGGCTCATTCCAACCCCCTGCCATGGGCAGGGACACCTCCCACCAGACCAGGTTGTTCCAAGCCCCATCCAGCCTGGCCTTGGACACTGCCAGGCAGGGAGCATCTGAAGAGGAAGGTCTGAAGATGGAGACAAGAGCTGCCCCGTGCCGTTTAGTGTCTGAGTATCCAGGTCCCCACATGTTTTGAGAAGGAAGAAGTATGTAGACTTTGACTACACAACTGCCTTGCAGACC